CAAACCATTGAGTAATTTGCAGTTACTACGCAATAAAAACTCATACGAACACGTTGCCAAGGTGCATGTAAATGCTTCATCAAAAGTATTAAAGTCGTCCGATACTTCGTTTGAGCTAATTGCTGAAGTAACGGAATTTCAACGTGGTAGCAAAGTTGGTTTTGAAGTTCGTCGTAGTTCGTATGGTGATGAAGTGACGACTATCATGTATGACGATTCTTTGAAGAAAGTGATTATTGATCGTTCAAACAGTTCAACAGCTGATTGTCCAGTATTTACTGACTATGAAGCTACGCCTCATTCAAGTGCTGTATGGGGTCATTTCTATTTGTATGACCTATTCACGAGTGCAGAGCAAAGTGAAGTTTGTGAAAGTACCCGCGAGACACTAAAATTCCACGTGTTTGTTGACGTGTCAATTATTGAGGTGTTTGTGAATGACCGTTTTTCACTGTCAGCTCGCGTGTATCCATGTGCTACTCAAACAGAATCTGACGGTATTGCACTAACAGCTTCAAGCGTCGCGACATTCAAGAACGTACAAGTTTGGACAGAACCTAAGCACGCGTGGGCTGATACACGCACTGTGCCAGCCTCTTAATAACAGCAAAATATTAATGCATAGTATTTGGTAATTCGTTTCATATAGTCTTAAAACAGTAATGTTTATCAAATTATGATTGTTAACAATACCATCGAATTATCCGGATTGTAAACTTACCGATAATTTGGTCAGAAATCGGCGTCTAAATTTAATAATTCTAACTAGAGTATTTAATTTTTTAGAAGCTAAGTCTACACTTAACATTTCTATAAACTATACAATGTTGTATGAACAAAGAAATAATTCTGATCAACACTTTGCTTTATTTAATTTTGCGACGTATTCGTACGACCTTCATTTGAGTTTTCTTCAGCCAATTTCCTTAGCTAGTAAGAGGAAATCATGCGTTTGTCAGCCCACGCGTGTTTCGGCTCCGTCCAAACTTGTACGTTTTCAAATGTCGCGTTACTTGAAGCTGTTAGAGCAATACCGTCAGATTCTGTTTGAGTAGCACATGGATACACACGAGCTGACAATGAAAAACGGTCATTCACAAACACCTCAATAATCGACACGTCAGCAAACACGTGAAATTTTAGTGTCTCGCGGGTACTTTCACAAACTTCACTTTGCTCTGCACTCGTGAATAGGTCATACAAATAGAAATGACCCCATACAGCACTTGAATGAGGCGTAGCTTCATAGTCAGTAAATACTGGACAATCAGCTGTTGAACTGTTTGAACGATCAATAATCACTTTCTTCAAAGAATCGTCATACATGATAGTCGTCACTTCATCACCATACGAACTACGACGAACTTCAAAACCAACTTTGCTACCACGTTGAAATTCCGTTACTTCAGCAATTAGCTCAAACGAAGTATCGGACGACTTTAATACTTTTGATGAAGCATTTACATGCACCTTGGCAACGTGTTCGTATGAATCTTTATTGCGTAGTAACTGCAAATTACTCAATGGCTTAATGCCTAAAGTCTTGATTGTCTTGCTCGTTTTCTTTGACCCGTCAGAGCACACAACATCGTTCGAATCCGACACTATCCAGTCTCCTTTTCCAACCAAATGTTCGTCGACATCATAAATATCACGAAGAATGATGATACTGACCTCACGAGGTAGTGAAAGCATTCCATCCCATCCTTGAGGTTGTCCAGTAGTAAAATTATTGTCTTCAGTAATCCATCCGATCAAAACATTCTTTCCATCTTTATCAGTATAAATACTGTTTGCGTACCATTCACTATGATCCGTCACACCAACCATCAAAGGACTGAATAAACTTGTATCAACATCAAACTCTTGATCAACGTTATAGCTCGAGAATGAACCCGTTGACCACATCGCGTAACGATCCGAGTCTTCTACCGCGGAAAAGAGAAGGACATTATGAAGTTGACCATCCTCGTCCTTTATCTCGAGATACTGGCTAGTCTCAAAAATGTTGCCCCAACTTTCACTATAACCTGAAAAATTGGTGTCAACTTCTTGAGAAAGCAAATAGCCTTTGTACTCCCACTTTTTATAATCTTTCGAGTGATACAAAAAGATACGTGGACCAGTCCCATTACCAATACCTCCCGATAAAATCATGTAGTTACTACTACAATTGGAAACATTGTAGCCAAAGTAGACGTCAAGAGACTGAGAGTGAAATGGCATGGGATCTCGCCACCCAATAATGTCGAGATCTTTTGGTGGTAATTCGATTATTGGCTTACTCCCTTTCTGCCAAGTCATACCATTATCATCTGTAGTAGCATACATCACGTGTTCACCGTAAAGATACTCTAAGTCCCATGAATTAGGCAGAGCAGTTACGCCGGTATAAAATACCGTATCCTTGCCATCAATGGCATTGGGCATAGCATAACCAGACCAAACACCGAGATGATCCCATTTGTCTTCATTAGGGCGAAGTGCATCTGGTAAATCCTTCCACATCACTTGATTTTTCGATATAGCATGACCCCAAGTCATATTGGCCCATACTGACGAAGTTGGATTTAACTGGTAGAACATGTGATAGAATCCAGTTTTCTTGTCATAATATGGTGCACAAGGGTCATTCATCCAGCCTTTGCGAGCAATAAAGTGATAAATTGGACGAAATTGTTCAAACAAGGAAGTTCCAGGCTTTGCTTCTAAAACATCTTGAGCTTGAGCGAATTGCGAGTTGAAAGTAAAGGAAGTGACAAAGACGCTAAACGTTTTAATTACCGAAGACACTTTCATAGTTGGCGAAATTTATGCAGAATCAGCTTGAACTCAATGATGAAATTCGTTAAATGGAACTGCAAGAGTGTCGACATGCGACTGATTAGATAAGCATCAGCTGTCTGCTGACACCTGAGGAAGAATCAGCTTTAAACCTGGTCGAACTCCGGCTCAATTTTTTGCTGGTCGTGATATATTATATACTCTATTTATTGTATTTGATATATTGAGCAAACCCAAGTACCGTATTAGACAACTTGTCACACAAGTAATATATTCATAAATTATAAATAACAGTATAGTTATTATCTGTTTCAAAGCTTCAATGCTTTATTACCAGAAGATCAATACCAGTAAAAGGATGATCCATGATGGCTTGCGATGTGACGTACTTCCTGCATTCTCAGAGCGCATAGTCACGCTACCGGAGCCAGCTCCAGTCATACCGGTAGTATCGATGAAGTCATAGGCTCCATTTGAGTCGCAGACAACACTTGGGTCTGGGCACGTAATCGTACCAGAGAACCCTGCTACTGACAAGGCTTCGCTTTTTTTCGTACAATTAACGCGAATAACGTCATTTGAATTGCTCCGTGGGATCGTCAGCTCGACAATACTTTTACTCACGTCGCCGTTTCCAATATCATAGCAGCGCATAGCATAACATCCAGTCTGTCGTCGAGAATTAACAATCCAATTCGATGAGTCAACACTACGAAGCGTAGTAGCTGTACATTTACAATTGGGGCAATATGATTCTCCTAGAATATTAATTTTTGTTGAACCCGGAAACATTAGATTAGTGGGATTACTACAATCGCCACTTGAATGGCCAACATTAATTGGACAAAAGTCAGCAAAATCGTCCCCACCTTGAGTTGGTGAATTAGTAAAATATTGGTAAGTTTTAGCAATCGATCGGCCAGTTGACACAGTACAAACTGATCGAGATATACCATCCACAGAGCAACTCTCAACACTATTACTCATACAGTAATGATCCAACGCAATTGATACGCCCGTATCGGGATTAATACATTTTTCCATTGCAAAATTGCATCCACGATTCCTTCCAAAATGCATTCGTCCAGCAGTTGATGTGTTGGCTCGGTACCAACCAGAATCTTCAAAAAAAGCCAAAGTTAATGCACTAAAGACATTACGAAAACTATTGACTGGTGTCATATACTCAGGTTCAAAAATTCGTTCTTCCCAATGCGAGCCAAGACATCCGGAATCATCTTGTTGCTCAATTTCAGCTCCTACTAATGAGTTACAACCAAAGTGCGACTTGACAAACGCTGCAACGTTTGGTGTCACCATTTTCGCGACTACATGTCCTCGTTCGTTCGAGTGTTGCACTGTTTGTGTACTAGGTGCAATGTAGTACTCGATGGGTGAACCATTTGGGCATGTTCCCGACTTGTAAATTGGTGGTCGCCCATTTGAGTCACGAGGTGTACGTGGTGTACCATCCGGATGTCGCATGTATGGGAAAAATTGAGCTGAAAATCCTAAAGCGTGCGTTATTTCATGCATGGCCGTCGAAACTTGTGATTCGAGATCTTCAGGTAATATGCTTATCTGAGAAGGGCAAAAGTTTGCCATACCGAAAGTAGGTCGATCGTATTGGTCCTTCTGACATGACGACGCATAGGCCAGTGTACGACTGGCACAATAATTTGTCGTGGCAGCCCGAATGTAAAGTACAAAGTCCGTGTTGGCAATCCCTTTTGCTTCTGAAACGGCACAATTTCCACCTGCACAACCTTCTCTAGGACAAGATGTACAAAATCGTGTGTGTCCAAAATGTTCATTTGGAATCGGCATTTCAAGACATTTTTCGTTCTGTAGTAATGTCTTGCAAATCGGAGGCGATGTCATCCATTGCGTCTCGCACGTGTGTTGTGCCATTAAATTTCCTTGCACTGGCATAACTTCGAGCGCAGCTTGAAATCGGCTAATGGCATCAGGAATGATTTTGTAAAGCACATCTCGCTTTTGTTTGGAAAGGATATCAAGCGTTGTTTTGTCATAGTAAGGAGTTATTCGAATCGGTTTAAAAGCATCTTTAGCAGCAGTAGACTCGTATTTTTCGATATTGCTGAAATCATCGTCGGCAAGTTTTCGTTGAACCTCAAAAGGATGATCATCTCCGTAATGCTGATGACTGTCAATCACTTGATGTTCAATTGTATCATGAATACATCCCTTTACTAGTGAGATGAGTATCACAATTACAATAGAAAAAAAATCCTTATTTCTGGTTGTCTTCATTGCTTTGACAATTGACGACTGCAATCTATTCGAATACCATCATTTCCTAATATAATTTTCAAGCTATTTTCACCATCTTAGACTCAGATCGTGGGGCAATTCAACTGTCATATTCGTGTACTCGTACATCATTTCGTACTTGAAAGAGTGTTGAAATACGTGTTTTGTTCACATTACAAGATGAAGGCGTTGATCTTGGTGGGAGGTTTTGGTACGCGGCTGCGACCGCTCACGCTATCGTGTCCTAAGCCTTTAGTGGAGTTTTGCAATAAATCAATTGTTGAACACCAGATTGAGGCACTTGTGGCGGTACGTAAGGAAAGATACAATTCTTTAAAAGCTTTGAATTCTCCTTAGCTACTTTATATGTATGAAAAACAAAACAGGTGGGAGTGACGGAGGTGATCTTAGCTGTTAATTATCAGCCTCAAGTTATGCTGGCAGCGCTTGAATCGATGGAGAAAAAGGTTTGAATGCTGAATACATGACATGTGAGGTCAGAATGATGGTCTAATCAATTGCAATTACCTTATCTCAGTACCATATCAAAATATCTTGCTCTCATGAGACGGAGCCTCTGGGTACTGCTGGACCATTAGCTTTAGCTCGTGAGCTACTGGATGATGGTGATCCATTCTTTGTATTTAATAGCGATGTTATCTGCGAGTATCGACTTCAGGACTTTCTTGATTTTCACAAAAGTCATGGAGCGGAAGGCACAATTATGGTTACTCGTGTGGATGAACCATCCAAGTATGGTGTAGTTATCTCCAATACTGATGGACAAATTGAGCGCTTTGTGGAGAAACCGAGAGAATATGTGGGTAACAAGATCAACGCTGGAATTTACATATTTAATCGGGAAGTCCTCGATCGTATTCAATTGAGACCAACATCGATTGAAAAAGAGATTTTTCCACAAATGGCCGCTGAGGGAAATCTTTTTTCAATGGTATTGCCAGGATACTGGATGGATATTGGCCAGCCCAAGGATTTTCTATCGGGCATGTGTCTGCACTTGGATTATGTAGAACGTACGCATGCAAAAATACTATCTACAGGCTCCAAGTTTATTGGAAACGTGATGGTTGATCCGACAGCTGTGATCGGAGAGAATTGTCTTATTGGCCCGAACGTAGTGATCGGACCTGGATGCGTCATTGAAGACGGTATATTGCATTGATGTAATAGCTTAAGTTTTTTATCTTACGCTTCGATGCTTTCAGGTGTCCGACTCAGTCGAACAACACTTCTTCGTGGAGTGACAGTGCGTGCAAATTCGTGGATTCAGTCGAGCATTATTGGATGGGGTTCAACGATTGGTCGATGGGTAAGTTAAAGATGAGTGGAGCTGGTATGATATATGAACTGAATGTTAGACGCTGTTCTTGAGCTTTTTAGTGTCGAGTGGAGGGAATCACAGTTGTTGGTGAGGATGTTCAAGTGAAGGATGAAAAGTATATCAACGGCGGTCTCATCCTACCGCACAAAGCCATTTCCACCAGCATCCCGGATCCCGGTACTATCGTCATGTGATTGATTTGGAGAAATGACGACACTTAATGTGTTGCTTAACACACTATCTCAAGTTGCTTCTCCAACTTGATATAGCAACTTTTCTGTCGCGAGCTATTACTTTGCTTCTGTTTGCATGACAACAAATAAAGGAAATCTTTGCACTAGAGCAGATCTTACTAATTTCCTAAAGCGACATTTAGATCAGACAACTGCCCAGGATAAACGGACCAATATAATCAACTCGTTAAATTCTGCGTAAGAGATCGTTAAAAACAGATAAGCGGTAAGATACTGACGTCGTTAGCGACTACAGAATGCAGTTATCGTTGTGCATTCAGCATTAAAAGAGCACACAAAGGCGAAGTAAAGACCAAGTCATTAACTTTTAACCAGCAACAAAACTGCAGATCTCAAGATTTCAAGGATACTTTTTATCTTATTGTACGTCGTACTTCCAATTTAATATATAAAGTAAGCAGCTCATCATGACCAACTCAATAGACAATATCCAGACCATTATCTACTTAGCAACATGAGCATCACGTCTTACAATTCTAATCTGCTTTCAAGATGCTCAACACGGGTCTGCAACGTTTGGATCTCTTGCACTAATGCTTCTTCCATAGCATCATGTCGTCTATGCCGATCACGAACGCGATAAACCCACTTCAGCATTTCTCCAAATATCACCATTACAAGTGCAAAGACCATAGAAAGCATCCACTCGTACCATTCAATGTGTGAAAACCCAAAGATTGTATCATTAATCACAGGAATATTTGTGACGGATAATGTCAAGATCAATGATCCAGCAGCAGCAACTTGCATCCATTTATTACTATACGTGTCTTCAAACACAGACTTAGTAAAACTCCGTGCAGTATACGCACGTAACATTTCCATTGTCGTAATGTAAATAAACGCCATTGTTTGTGATCGAGACGTACCCACTGATATGCATTCAAAGTCTTCATTGTAGCAAAGAAACGTATCAGTTTCGTAATATTCTTGAAACCGAATATTTTCAGCGAACAAATACGTTCCATTACGTGCTCGTGCTCCACAATTGCTGTACTTTTGCCACCCATGTCCAAGTCCTTTCCAGCGCATACATACTGCATTTCTGTAAGCTGTTTCGCCCTTATTCGCATCAATTTCATCAATAATATCATCAAGAAAGACATCTTGAAAGTTCCAATATAAACCACATGTAAATACGATAAGGGCACCAAAAGCGATCAAAAAAGCGTTCAAAAGCACAATGACCCACAATCGACCATAAACAATACGTTCCGAACGCGGTCGCGGACGTTCTTTCATCACTGATCCATCTCCTTTTTCAAGACTAAGTGCTACAGCCGCCATGCCGTCGGCAAAGAGGTTAAGTACTAAAATTTGCATTGGCTCAAGAGGATTGGGCATTCCAACAGCTATTGTAGTGAAAATCACAGCAATCTCACCAAAATTTGTCGACAGCAAGAAACACACAAAACGTTGAATATTCCCATAGATCTCACGTCCTTTTTCAACAGCAGAAACAATGCTACAGAAATTGTCATCCATTAAAATCATGTCTGATGCACCTTTGGCAACAGCAGTTCCAGAAATGCCCATGGCTACACCAATATCTGCTTCTTTAAGTGCCGGTGCATCATTAACTCCATCGCCCGTCATGGCTGCAACATGGCCTTGACGTTGTAATGACTTAACAATTTCAATCTTGTCTTCTGGCTTAGCACGTGCAAATACAGACACTTGACTAGTCACTTCGTCCAATTTAACATCAGGTAAGTATACATTTTGACTTGAACGCAAAACGCTGCAATCTACAGCTTGGGCATCAGCAGTTGAATTAGCAGGCAATAGATCAATTTCTCGAGCAATGGCCACTGCAGTCTTAAGATAGTCACCAGTGATCATAACCGTTCTGATTGAAGCTTGACGCGCTTTTTGAATGGCTGTCTTGACACCATATCTCGGAGGATCCATAGACGCAACAAGTCCGACAAAAATTAAAGGAGAAGACAAGCGCGAAAATTTGACTTCAATATCTTCTTCATCATTTGAAAATGGCATTTTTTGTAGTGGACGCACGGCAACAGCGAGAACACGTAGGGCTTGAGACGATAATGTATCCACGGCTTCCAAGATCTTCGTTCGATCGGATTCATTCATTGCTGTGAGTACGCCATCTGTACGCACAAATTGTGTACAGTTTTTGACAAGATAATTTGGAGCACCTTTGACATTCGCGATCATTGTCGTATTGGCAGGAAATTCGAGCATATCAAACCGTGTTTCATTCATTGGTAGCTCATTCACTGTAATCATCATTTTTCGAGTAGATGAAAATGGTACTTCCGTCTGTCTTGGATATTTTCTCATGACATCTTCCCGCCAGATTCCTGCTTTAGCCGCTGCAACAATAAGTGGTGCTTCCGACGAATTGCCCATGGGAACCCATTCAGACGCACCGGAATCATTCTCTTCTTTCTGTAAACTTGTGTTACTGCACAACACTGCTGACAATAATGTTGTACGCACAGGAATAGAAACATTTGGAGGCTTAATTTGACTTACTCCATTATGGAGAATATCTCCATTTGGTGTAAATCCAATTCCTGTAATGTCGTACATGACTGAGTCACTCCACATCTTCACTGCTGTCATCTTGCCTTCTGTAAGCGTACCCGTTTTGTCCGTACAAATCACCGAACTTGCACCCAATGACTCGACAGCTGCTAATTTTCGTACAAGCACATTTTTTTTCACCATCTCTGCAGTTCCAGTAGATAAACAAATGGTCACAACCATCGGAAGACCTTCCGGTACAGCACTTACAGCAAGCGAGACAGCAATCATGACAATATACAACGTCACAGATCGATCAGGGTCTTTTGGATTAGCATTTCCACGCAACATTCCGACAACAAAGACAATCACACAAATACCAAGCACAACTGTACCCATAAGAACACCCAATTGATGTAAACTAAGTTGCAATGGGGTCATTTTTGGAGAACATTTGTCCATCATACGATGCCAGCAATTTGAGTTTTGAGTATTAGTCGTACCCTCTTGTAGTAACGCCGCGATAGATCCAACACGAGTTTGCATACCAGTTTCAACTACAACTCCCGTAGCATGACCTGTGGCTACTGATGTTGAGGCAAATACCATGTTGTCTGCAGTTAATTTATCACTTTCATGTACTTCAGCATCAAACTTTTTCAGTACATCATCAGATTCCCCCGTTAAAATCATTTCATTGACTTTAAAATCTGAACTATGAATCAGACGTAAATCTGCAGGAACAATATCTCCAGTAGTTAAAATCACGAGATCACCACATACAAGCTCTTCACTTGGGACTAAAACTTGTCGTCCACCATCACGTACGACAACACACTGTGGTGTAGCCATTTTCTGTAGTGCACTCAAAGCATTGCTTGCATTATGTTCTTGAAAAGTCGCAATAATTGCATTTAATGTTACAATTACAATAATTGCAATACCTTCCACATATTCTTTTAAAATAATTGATGCAACACTTGCAGCCATAAGTAAAACAATAATTACATTTGCAAACTGTAATAGAAATATGAGGTACAACGGTATTCGCTTGTCACGCTCAAGTGAATTTGGACCATATTGCATTAGTCGTTCACTCGCAGTCTTTGAATCTAATCCAAGTGTTGGATCCACTTTAAATTCATCAAGTATTGCATTAATTGGCTTTTCATGCCATACGCGTGGATCCAACGTAGCAAATGATTCACGAGTTCGACGAGGATTCATGGCCACAAGACGCTCTGATTCACTTAGAAATCGATCTCGATGGGAAAGTCGAACATCATCGGAGTTTTCATTTTTTGAACCAACGCTTAATTGAGGTGTCAGCGCAGTTACGAACGAGAAGGATGAGGTAAATACCATGTTTTCACTTGAGGCAGGGGGTGATGTTCGCCCCATTTTGCTTGAATTTTCGCATGAGATTCGACCCATATATGTCAGCAATACAAGGCGTAGCCAGTTACAGAATGACTGAGATCAGCATAACCAACTCCTTCATGATGCCAGTGAGGATACGGTGCAATTACAGGATACAGATCAGATTTCATTTGTCTGGGATTTAAACTCTATAATTACATATTCAGCACAGTAGTATTTTAAAATACTTAGTCCAAAAATTTGATCTCTAGATATAACCTTCTTGTTTTGGTATCCTAATATATCTGCTTGATAGAAACAACAATAGCCCTATTAGTCAATATTTTAATCACATCTGTTAGAGCTGAATGTATTACTGCCAGTATCAAGGTATTAATTTCATACAGTGAGCACTTAAGACTTCATGAGTCACAACATTTTCGAAATAATGAATAAATGTTGACGATCATTCTCGATCATTCTTTGTCACATCGCCACGAAATTTGCATTTCACCCAGCAGTTGCTTTCTGTTCTCTATTTCTTATGAGATTATATGTACGTACTGGCTCTGCGTTTTTTGATCTGGGTATTTTTGGTGATTGGTTTTCAGGAAAAATATTGAGATTACATGTCGATTTATGCACTCACACTATTTACAGTATTTACAGTCTGTTGGGGATCTTCAACACATTGTCTTCTCATTAGTGCGTCTGGCTATCTCGCTCTTTTTCAAATGAGGATGTGCTCGATTACTTTTATAGTGATAGTAAGATGCTTCATCACAACATTTTGAAGTCAAATGGTGTCTACGTCGTTCAAAAGACCAAATCGTATTCAATTTATGTAGACACAAGCATGACAATTCAAGTCTCATCTTTATTAGTATTGCAATACTTATTGCGTCGACTTATTTCTAAAAGAATCAGGATTCAATTTTGCTCAAAATGAAACTGGACATCACTTTGCAAAGGCTTAAAATTGAGTGATTCACCAGTGTGTTCATGCCTAATGACTGACGGCGCCAGCGTCGCATCAACTTCGTCCTCTTCTCTGTCAAACCATGTGTCTAGCAACTGTGATGCCATACTGCTCACATCATCGTTTTGATCACACGACAATTCCTCTATTTTTGCAAGACACCCACTTTCCTCGACTGCAATTCGACCTTCTTGAGAATCTTTTTGCAATAAACTCTCAATTGCCTCTAAGATCACAAGCTCTACCATTGGATCTTCCCACTCTTCAAGTAATGGACAAAACGATTGTAATACGCCCATTTGTACAACTTTTTGAATAAATTCAACATTCGCTCGTACAATAATATTGCACATAGCCCAAGTCGCTTCCCGTTTAACACCATATTCTGCCCATGACATTTGCTCCACCAAGCCAGCAATCACTCCTGGAGCATTCATCATTGCAATCACTTGGTCTTCATGTCCTCCAGCAATATTTGACAACATCCAACATGCTTCTTCACGCACTGCGCGACTTGTGGTCGTCAAGACATTTGGAATCACTTCCAATAATTTAGCATCAATAACAGCTTGTGCGTACAAAATTTCGGCCGAGACAATGTTGCCCAATAATCGTAACACGGGTGCAAGAATAATACTACTTTGAGAAATATACAACAGCTCAACGAGTCGTGGACACATTCCAGCATTAACAATCCCACTAACCATATCACTACTGTGCAGTGTCATTTCTACCAATGCCCAACAGCTATCGCATAAAGTTAAAACTTGTTCATCCAATAAATCACTTTCTTCATCCTCCAAATCGTCATCTTCTCCAATCGCATCATCCATCACTTGCAATGGTCGCAAGTCAGTTTTCTTCGCTTGAAACACAAGATTTTCTCCTGTTTCAAAATTCACATCGACATCCATCACTTCAACAGTTGATTCATTCACTTCACGAACAAATCGTACAACAGCAATATCATTTGGTTCAGGTTTTCCTGTACTAATCTAATTATCAAAGTATTAAATCATAAAAATCAATATTGTTACAATATATTTCGTCTCATTTTCATAACATACCTCAAAAATACGCCATGGAGCAATTGCAACTGTTTGCTTAAGTTTATTATTTTCATCTTGACCATTTGCAGAGACAAACATTCGTTCTTTTTCAATTGATAATTGCATCACAAGACTCACCAGTACTTGCATCATTTCTTGTTTTGTGGCAAGATCGACAACGCCACTTTTTTCCATTACTTCTGGAAATTCAACTAAACTACGTAAAAGCCACACAGCAGCACGTCGCAAAGAAGGTGTTGCCATACGAATATGTGGTAATACCAAATGGGGTGGACAAACACTCATAATAACATGACAAGTCTCTGGTGAAGCAGATGCAATATTTCCAAGACACCAAGCAGCTTGAATCTGCAATTCCGAAATACCAGAACGAAACAATTGAACTAATTTTGGTACAGCACCTGAAGCAATTACAGCATCAGCTTTATCCATTGATGATATAAATCGCAAGGCAAAAGCAGCATCAGAATGCAATTGAACTGCTGTGGCATCAGGTAATTCCTCATTAAGAATAGCCACAAACGATGGTAATGCTGCAAGTATTGTTTGCCACAACCCTTGATGTTGCGAATCAGTTTCATCAAATAATGGTGGTACACCACTTGTAAGCAAATAGACAAAAGCGCGCATCGATTTTTGCCTCGTTTGCGCTTCAGGTCGTTGAATACCTGCATAAATTAATCAAACGATAAATACTCCAATTACCAATGATCATCTGATTCTGAGACTTTTTTGAGGGTACCAAGTAAGAGTGCGTATGACCGCGAAGCAAGATTTAGCAATAATTCCTTCCGACTCGCCGTCTGAGCAGCCGCTGGTGGATGATTCGCTTTAAGATTACGACGAGTGGCGTATGCATCCTCTTTTTTGGCTTTTCGTACGGATAACATCGTCTCTTGACGGTTGCGACGGCCTGTGAGCGCACCAACATTGCCAACCACTTTGACCGACTTGCGCGTCTTCGACATGGTGTTTCGTTTTTCGCGGTAACACCAAATGGCAAACATGTGTGTGGGTTACATTATAATGTAAATTACTGTATCTTAGTATTCTCGAATACCATATGGCCGTAAGAAAAAAATTTGGAAAATACCGGTGAATTGCAGTATATTCCCATAACCTTGAAGGGCTTGTAATATGGTTGTAGACAAAAATTTTGACAATAGCAATACTATTTTCTCGATCTTCTTGTGCTCCGGTTTTCACTATATCGTACGCTTCCTGCGCCGAGGTTGTCGCGCAAAGAAAGCTTTGACTCTCAATTTGCATTACTCACAGAGGATGGCATTGTCGACTGCTTCAAAGAAGCCGAAGCGCGAGAACAACAAACTACACTTGCTCGTATAACTCAAAGCAAGTTAGAGAAATACAAACCAAATATCTTTTACAATTACTAAAGTCGGTTCTATTGGGATGCATGATAAAACGCATATCTTTAGTATCAGCATTTGCTTAAACGTATATCTTTTTGGAGATAGTAAAGCTCACTCGATACTAAATCAGTGTAGAAGCTCTCAGGTTCGCTCCTGATAGGAGCGTTAGTGGCTGTTAACGCGTACACCTCTAATCACCACGTGTCCACAAACTTCACGTTTTGAATCATCTTTAGTCTTGTCTGTCCGAGTGTACTCCTCATATTACTTCTGAACCTTGGTCTAAGGTCTAGGGGCACCAGTATAAGATGTACGAACACCACAATGAGGGATACACCTCTGTCCTCACACCAATATAAGAACCCCACGGAAATCACTGATATTTTGTATTCTACTAAGTCAGCACACATTTCGTCTACAACATCCAACGCGCCGAGAGCTTAATGCAAGCTCAATGAGAAAAGAGCCCCCCTTCCGAGCTTCATGAAGCTCGTAGCCTGAAGAACTACCAGGAAAACCGAGGTTCTCGCGAAAACCTTGTTCGGCTACGTTAGTCATGATTTTGCTGATGAGACTGGTCAATGTGACCTATCGAGTCACCTTCCGATGCGATTTCAGACTCTTGAGAACTTCTCTGAGATTAAGACAAACTTTTTGTTTCGTCTCACCCTGACAGAATCGCTCCATTCTGTAATTCAGAAGGTATCAAAACATCTAGCGAGCCGATTTTGCTTGATTGAGAGCGCAAGAGTTGCAGCTTCGTTCAGCAATGATTCATCAAGCTGCATCTCATCTTGATTATAGATCCTGTTCATCGAAAGACAGCTGTCGTAATATCCGTAAAAACTTGGCGCCTGAGCCTTCGGCTCGATCAATGCGATAAAAAATTCACCGATGGCGCTTCTTCATCCACATGGACCTTTCATCACGCGTTTTTCTGATAACTGGATCGGTACCGGTCTAAATATCAGAATCCTCCATTAAGTCAGAACCGATGTAGCTGGACTATACGTCACTCCGTTCGAGTGATTGCACATCGCGTTACCCGAATGCGGTTTTACAAGCCAGTGTCAGTGAGACAATAGTCGGACTATAACGTCGCATTATGCTTGTGCGAAGCGCGGCATCGACGTTGATGCGGGCGACGTCTAAATCGATGCCACAAAGCTAAATCATAGTCAAAATCATGCCGATATAGCTACTAATTAGTCCCGAACTTGGAAGTACGTTGGGCTCCAATCGCTAATGTGAAGCGCGTTTCGTGTCTCTTCTCCTGAGAGGTGAAGACAGAGCGAACAGCAAACTATGAGCGGCAACGATGCCAAGGAACCATGCCGCAGTGGAGCCTCAAACTTCCATCAGTTCTTCGAGTTAGTATGTCCCTCCCACTTCATCAAATACTGAAAACAGACTGGCGAATTTGATCCGCATGGAAGAGGACCACCAGTATTTCATCGGGCGGAGTCGACAGAAGACGATTCACCCGTAGCTGGCTCTTCTGATATCCATCAATTGTTGTGGCACGCTAACGTTTTTAAAGTCTCAGTGTGCTGCCGATATTGACATGAGGCAGTCTTTGGATACGCTTTACGAACTGCGCAGCACCCTAAAGCTCAAAATGAAAGAAGGCAATTCAGCTATAAAAGACTGCTGAGTCGTCTTTAATGAAGAGTTTCTAGCTGACTGGATAGTGAGAGCGTACTCTTTAGTTTCTTAAGTTGGCGTACACAAAACACTGGATGTGATGTGTTCACCTCTTTTGAGAATATTTAAAGTATAATCAATCCTTCTGGTTTCGGCCGTAAATTGTGAAAAGTAGCTTTATCTCACAGCTTGTAGACAGGTCGGTCGATAGTATTCAGCAAATCATGATCACCCGTTGATCCTGTGTGTTTCGTCTACCTCAGGTATCTGCCTAGTGCTCTTGCACATTCTGGCTGTCAACCAGGACGTCGCATACCTTAAAATTATTTTCAGACGTGGTTGGATTGAATTCTAGCCAGTCAATCAGCATCGACACATTTGTCGTGGTTATCCACTACACCTAATCAGGCGTACTGTGTGCGCTCAAAGTTCTTGCCAACGACCAAGCTAGCGAAAATTAGCGGTATATATCTTATAGCTAGGAACTCTCATCGCCGCGATAAGGCAGAATCCCTTTCGAGGTTGTGACTCTTGTTATCTTCATGATATATCCTGAAACAATTATTGCTAGGTCCGCGTGGATACCTATGTGAAAAGTCTACGTGCGTGCCAAAGACGATGAACCTCAGACATGCTAAAAATGGAGAATAGTTACTAGCCGCCGAGCTGCAATCTGGAAACTGCCGATATTACACTTGTGGTAATATCATGTATCCTCGCTCTGCGTACTTCCTTTTCTTTCGGCTGAATGATATAAATCGCCACGCAGGATAGCCCGATAAGCCCCTCGCAGGTAAGTGTTGCGTCCCAAAGAATTAGGACGATTTACTGGGAGCGTCTTCCTGAAAAGTGCAAGTCTTTTTTAAGAAAAATGCAGCTCTGGGCCCCCACCCCGAAGTTGCTTGTTGTCAACACCAACGTCCCGGGCTTTGTGATGCACATTCAGGATTCACCATCGACGGGCGACTGTCAAAGCTAGTGGACAGCTCGCAAATATTGAGGGTATCGAATACAGATATATTGTCTCTGTTTGTGTTGTGACGGGGAGACAGGTGTAAACCTTAAGAGAAATGAACCAACCTCTGTCGAAATGAGCACGTACCACATGAATATTCCTGCGAGGTTAGAGGATTTCGACAGCGTGCAAAGTTGACTTGTCCTGAATTTGACTTGAGATATGATCTTACCCTAGGTTTAACGTAGCTGAAATGCCACGAACCACGGATCAAATGGGATCCAGAGAAGTTACATATCAAGCACTTCTGTCCTGGTAGAGCTTTTGCGGGTTATGAGCCCACTTCTACCAGAAAGCAGAAGTGATTTTGGTGCAAACACGAAGATATGATGGCTTCGTCGCAAGATACGGGAATGTCCGAATCATGTTGCGATGGTATCGCCGAATGCCTGCCTCGGGGCCATAAGTAGAAGTGATACCGAGCCTCGGACTTACAATGAGACAGAGAAAAGCAACATGAACTCCAGAGTGTATCTGCTGAGACGAAATTGAGCGACTGAATGCCGTCGTCACCAGAGTGCTTTTCCAGTCATCCAGATAAAAATAGCTGTAACTGCTGCGCCAGAGTCGATGCAATTTAGGAGAGACTATATAATCAGGCCTCTTCTGATAGATTCGGTGCAGACAAATAAGAGTGACCGCGTGTCGTGGTACTTAGTGCCGGAGGTGACAGAAATGGGCGACTATAAACTGCAATAAGAAAAGCTACTCCATAAAATTTTCAAGAATGACTAATCCATGACTCGATGTAGCAATATGGTTGAGTCATCACAATCGTGTTTTGCGCTCATCGTGCAGAGCAGTGCGCTCCGCGGCTTTGTGTCGAGAAAGATTTTTCATTCGACTATAGAATGATCGGGGTAATCTTTGCTTTTATTGAACTGGAGGAACGATTAATAAGGGACATGTTGAAGGGGTAAGTCTGTCATTGAATAACTAAGGAAAAATTGTGGGACAAATCTCCTCAAGAATTCTACGAATTTCGGAATTTGAAATATCGCGGGAGTCATGATCCCACCAAGCGTGTTGTCCCCGGATTGGGGAGTGCGTCACGAGAGTGACCTGGTATCCGGAAACATTTTCACATCACACAGCAATTGCCATTACCAAGGGAACAGTGCGATACCATACGCACGTTCTTCCTTGCATAAAAATAAAAACGCATCTTGACGGGGAAAAGTGCTATATTCGGCGCCGTCTTCCTGTGCCAAACAGGATAACGGTAATTGGCAGAATATCATGTCTAAAATGCGTTACATGCAGCCACAGTTTTACGAACGCTGATTCAAAGATGTGCTGTATACGAGCATCATCGACTGCATTTTAGTGCTCTCGACGTAGTTGATAGTTATCATCAAGAGATTGTGATACACCTGTAATTGCGGTCATTTTACAGCATCCCGCTCGAATACTTGGAAGCTATGCGACTGGGGTGCCTGATGTACCAATGTCATCAAATTTACTGGTGGTAAAGCTGATTAGTCTACATCGTACCTATTTCAATGATAAATCTGTCCGTATTCACGCAGAACACGGAAAAGTCGGATGTGAAAAAATACATTGAACACTTGCGATCGCTACTCGAGTGCATGCCTTAAATAAGGTGTTTGCCAAACTAGACAAGCATGTTTCTAGTGCCGACGAAATTCTTTTTCTAGCTTCATTTACCAGAAAGCAGGACCTGTTAGACAACAAACAATGGTAAAAGCAGTTGTAGAGTGACTAGTGTCATTGTACCAAAGGAACTTGAGGAAGTGGCTTGCCCTCGTAAATTACGTGTATGTTAACAGGCAAACTGGCGAGTGCACCATAAATGATTTTTATACATGCATAACTATGTCGACATGGCACGGCCCGCTACCAATAATCTTAAGAAAGTGATGTCGTGCGGTGAAAGATGCGATCTTTAAAGATGTAAGAAATAAATTCGTGTGCTATCTTATTCAGGCCCTACCGAGTCCAGATCGGACGTTCCTTGTTGTTTGCGACGATATAGCCTTAATCATCACGCCGAGTTTTGCTTCAAGCAGATATTAACGGGTGGGGACGTATGATCGCGCTAAAAATCTTGCTTGTTTTAGCTAGCAGAGAAGAACTAGCCCGCATTATGAGGCGACACTGGCAATAAAAAATGCTTTGTCAGGTTCAGAATGCCTTTTCTTGGCTCTGAATCGTTTTTAGGCTAGACAGATCGTGCGTCAATGCGTACAGCGGTGACTTCGCTCACAAAATATGGCAACATGAGTTGCGGAATTATTTTCGAGGTAGGTAAAGACTGACTCGCCTAATTTTGGTGGCGGATGCCCCGACTATGAGCATTACCATATCAAATTGTGACGTGGCCAATTGATATGGCAGAAGGCGATACATCCTGAGTACGGGTCAGACGCAACATGTACTGTGCTGCTGAAACCTTTGAAGATCAAGATATTTATGAACTTATATGAAGCGCGCGGCTGCCCGCCTGCACCGCATATCGTTTTTGAGGCTTATTGTACGCAGCACAAACACTTGATACACAACGTGTAATGGTGCCTCATGACGAGGTTCTTATGTAGAGAATATGCACGAAGCATGGACCACCTTAGAAGAGAGACGTACTGGTTAATGAGCGTTTTGTATTGGTGGCTGGCCCTACATGTATAAGTGGGTTAGCACATATGTGCGCACATGCGAAAACGCGTTAGCAGGGACCATTCTCGCTGCAAGCATCGACGGCTTTGCCAGTCTGCTGGTTCAGGCAGAGTGTTGTCAGTGCATGATTGCAGACTTTACCATCCACCTTTAAATGACGCTTTCGATGATAACAACATTTTAATCTTTGTGGACTGCCAGAGCACGATGACCCACTTTGCTACTCTCGGCGATATAATATTACAGCCAAGCTGTTCTACGCTTTAGTATTTGACAACATAACTTGTCGACAGCCATAACATTAGGTAGAGACCCGCGCTTCGTATCGAAATTTTGGCGACTTTGCAAAGCGTGCCGGACACCTGATTGGATACGCCTACAGCTGACAAATGGTCAGCTTACTGCTCTAAGAGGTGATCTACCGGATGACTTTGCGCGGCAGTTGCTGAATTGTATTTAATTGAGACCGCCGTCTGGCTTTGTGAAGTGGATGCTGACAATCGAATTCGACATCAGCTGAGCGTCATGCTTAGGGTGCGTGACGCTACGGCAGAGGCCCTTGAAAAACAAATAAACACGCCGATTTGGAGAAAGAAATCACGCACGATTATGCTGGGAAAGAAACATTTTTAATGGAGGCAAAACACACACGATTATGCTGTGATAAGAACGTTCTTAATAAAGGCAAAAATCCGTACACATACATTAGCTGCGTTCTATGATACCTAGTCTCGGCCGTGCTGCATCGAGCAATTTATGGTCGAAGCAAAAAAACGGATTGAATTATACTTTGAATACCTCGGAGCAAACGCAAACGCGATAAGTGTTCTATGTTGGCTTACAGGAGCCATAAGAAAATCCCACTCGTATGAGCCAGTCAAACGTGAATAGCTCTGTTGCGGATGAAGTTGCATCTACACCATCCCTGTAACTGCAGATGAGCAACCCTCTGTAGAGCCAAAAGGATGTCTACAGCTGTGAATCGACGGCGATACGTCAAGCCGGGCAATTCAAAAACGAAGCTCAGGGAGCGAGCCAAAGGTCCGACTTATCTCAACCTCGAGCAATCGCCGTAACTCTCAAAGAGAGTCAACGTGCTGGCACAAGATCACTCGCCGCAATGCTTTTACCCTTGTGAGAGGGATACCAACAACTTGCGGTGAGTAAGGCACTTGGTCAATAAGCAGTCATAGCTCCCATAAATATGAGCAGGAAAAACAGCAAGAACCTGAGGGACTGAATTCCTACCTCGAGGTTTATGTCGTGCATTGTAGTTCGCAAAATCAAGAATTGTTCAGACGTATGCTTCACTAGAGGTCTGGAACTCTCTAGGTGCAGGAGCTTCTCGGGTGTACCTCTTGTGTCTGGAGCAGAAGCGGCTGAATGAATCCGACTACTTTGCGAGAACTGTATCCTAGGGTATTAAATAAATAGCTCACTGGGTAAAAAAACAAGACATATCGCCAACTGTGGGGGAGTGCAGGCGCGCAGTCGCGAAGCGACGTTCGGGCGCTCGTTCTGCTCTCTCTCTGAGCGACAGACCCGCAGATACTAACACGTGAAAAGATACTCCACGACGCAGCGAGCAATATTCAATCGGATATCTCTGCAAATTCATTGCCACAATTGCACTTACAGACGGCCAAGGTTGGTTTCCGATGCTAGGTCCAGCCGGATGTCGTCGTGAGGTGAGCCCCGCGGGGCGGTGTTGCTGCATACTATGTGAAGAGGTGAGGCAAAGCGTAGAAGGCGCCTTTGAGCGCACTGCCAGATGTCTGTCGTTGAGGGAAATGGCATCAGGTCTGAATTGGGAATTCCTTATCGACGCCCCCCGCGGAATTCGTGCTTTTCTCGGAGAGTCGTTGAGGAGTTCGATGACAAAGCTATATATACTGCACGGCATGCTCACGTGTGTCACGGACCTATGGACCTATCAATTAACGAACCCCATCATCAGCAGCCGTACTTCCATTAGTACGTACATTATAATACCATAATAGGTACGTCACCATTATCTCCCCCACCAGAGTGTGAACCACAGGAGCAAATTAGATATCAATTACTGGGTGTATATATATTTTAGTAAGTTTTTGTCATTGAGTCAAAATAAATGCTCAACGAGCACGCAATACAGTTATCCAAGCACGGAAAGAGCTTGTCCTACGAGCCTTATCTACATCAGAAGTTCTCGTACTAAGTATAATTTTGAGCAGGCCTATTTTAAATAATGTCAGTAGTGAAAGCAAGCAATTGCTTTATTACATAAGATGCTCTCAGCCTGCGAACGGGTGGCGCGTATGAGCTCTTGCTAGCTGTTAAGGTAGAATCCTTGAGTCAAAGCTTTCTTTGTGCAAGGTGCATGACAACTCCGTTGTATCAAATGCCTGAATTCGGCGCAGATAATGCGTGAAAAGAGCATTGGGCGCATCCATAATGCGTTTCCTCACTCAACATATGTAGTTTCTGAATTTTCCTTTTTAAAATTTGAAATTGCTCAATGAAAATATTGTCGCACAATTTTAATTAAGCGGAGAAATATTCAGTATGCTGTGATCGGCTACAGTAACGACGCTACATGGTGCTATTAAACAAGAGGAAAGAAGTGTTGCGACTATATCGAAACATTATTCGAACCACACGCATGTTTCCGCACCGAAATGAGCAGGGACAAATTTGGTCCGATGTGTTGCAGAAGAACGCGCGTATGGAGATCGAGCAGAATCGCCACGAAAAGGTAAAGCAGACGTTGTTTTTGATATTAATTGTCTGTTAATTATAAATTTGGTACATAAGGATGGTGAGACCATCTCCAAGCGCATTCTTTTTGGTTGGAAGTGCTTGCAAGAAGTGCAGGAAAAGGTAAAATTTGTGGTTACTAGATACACTTTTGATATCTAACGTTAGTTCACCACAGATGATGAAGAAACAGCAGGAATTCAATGATAAACCATTCAATCAGAACATTAACAAGAAGGAATGAGCACGACCATAAAGACATTTTTTCATGAGATTGATAATTTTAAATGCTGTAAGGTAAAATTTTGCTGAGCGTGAAAATTTACATTAAAGGTATGAAGTGCTGGTTACTACTGAATTCAAGGTACAGTGTGAAGAGCACATGTAGTGACTCGTACACGTTCTTGTGTATCGGAATGTCCAGTAGAGCGCAAATAACTCGCGCATATTGCTCAACACTTAGGTCCAAGTCTGCACTTGGTAGCGCTGTTTTGCTTAAAAGATCTTCAAACTCAGCTGGCCAGACTTGCATAAGACTTTCGATATCAGGCATTGTCTTCGTGTAATGAACTTGTGGTGGAGGTTTTGTACGATGCAAGTCGGCAATGGATTTGATCCACCGGTCGATTTCTCGTGGCGATTTCTCTGCGTTTTCAATACTTCGAACGACAATATCTCCATGTCTCTTCTTAGACGTGGACCGAAGTTGCAAGTCAAGAACTGTAGCATCAGACTGATTTAAACTTGGTTCATCAAGTATCTTAAGACCCAAATAATCCGGTTGACCATCTGGACGTTGCACTTTAAGAAAAGCATCCATATCTCCTACTGCTGGAATGTATTCAGGTATGAAACACTTAAGTCGAGTCTCTAAATCGATCTCTTGAGCCTTAAAACGTCCAATGTACTGAAAGAGTTCTCGAATCTCGTGCGAGACTTTTAAGTGTGCAAAGTCACTTTCCTTGTAGCCACTAGCATTCGCCATAATGGCCGCAAGGTTTCCACCTCCACTACTTGCATCGCTATTGGTTTTGTGTGGAATAGCACTTGAAGTTGCTTTTGAAACCGAATGATGTTCCTCTTCTTCATCATCATCTTCGTCACTTCCCGATTCTTCTGAAGAACTTGCTGACTCTTCAACAGGTTTTCGTACTGATTCATTCCGCGCCTCAGAGGCTGCAGTAGATTTTGGCGTTTCCCTCTTGCTTTCAATGTGAAGTGACTGACGAGAAGCATTTGTCGAATGAGATCCTTTTGTGTCTTGACGAGCTTTTGGACTTGGTTGGCCATTTGTATCAATGCTATCACCTGAGTCACTTAGATCTAGATGTTCATCAAATGGATTATTTTTCATCTCATTACCCACAGTAATCGAAGTGGACGAAGTATTCTCCTTTGTTGCAGATTTTGTAGTCATACTTATAGGCTTTGCCTGTGCATTTGACTTTATTGGACTTTGCACCTCTTGAACGCTCTCCGATAGCTCAAGCGCTTCATCAAATGGTTGATTTTTAACAGCTCTACCTCCTCCAGGTAATTTCTTAGGCGAGTTTGGGTTTACAGACGCAACGCTGGCTTCTGACTCACTTAAATCGACTGCTTCGTCGAATGGTTGATTCACGAGAGCGCGTTCCGATCCCGTCGCTTTACCATCCGTGGCTTTGGTCATACGTTCATCATCCGACTCCGACAAATCTTCTTCGCTTGACTCTTCATCTTCTTCACTATCGGAAATGTCCTCATCGCTTTCTTCGTGTTTGAACTCGCGTTCTGACATGGCTACAGGACGATTCCTTTTTTATAAAAAATAATGAGGATCCTCTTGCGTCCGTTCACAAAACTTCAAAGCCGTTAGTTACAGTACATTTACATGAAGAATTAGCAAGTTATCTATCATCTTCATCGACAAACTACATTACATTTCTCGAGTATGCAGTTATTTCAAACTAAAGCTACTTCGATAAAGTCTTTCAACGCGTGCTCGTGACATAAAGCAGTAACAATTATCCCTAGGTTCTAGAGTAAAAAATCAAGCAGCTGTGGCCCGACCTTTGGAAAATATAGTCTTCCTTGGAAACTCTACCGGGACAGCACAATGTGTCGGTGCCATTGATTCGTGTCGTCTCAATATCGAAACATTTGAGTCGGACTCATTTGCTTGATCTTCCATTTCACTGGCTGACGGTGCAGTCGAAACAGTAGACGACGTCGACGACTTTCGAGACGACGGGTTATGAACGAGTGAAAATAGCGTGGTGCCACCTCCACGACGCTTGCCTTTATCAAACATAACTTGTTTTGGGAGCTGCACACCACATTCTGCAAGATTGGTTTCATCGTACAAAACAATTAATTCGTTAACAGATTGTTGTTCCCGGACTGATTGTTCGAATGGATTAGATCTTTGCGAGTGTCTCGTCAAGTCTTGTATGCGTACAATTTTACTCTCTTGAACTCCAACAACTTTGTTGGCAGAAATGCTAGTCATTCTAGGAACCAATTGTTTTCGTTGGATGAGACTGTTGTAGTGTCTATCCTTGTACAGGAGATGTAGTGTTCGATACGGTGAATTCACACTTCCTTTTAAATTGTTGTTTGTTACTCGAAGCTTTCGTGCAGGACCTGTATGCACCACAATGTGAATATTGAAGAGCCGTGCTATTGCGTATAGTTCCACATGGCCACCCGGCTTCCCGTCTTGGCGCATACGAGCAGAGTAGGCACCAATTTGCTCATTTTCAATAAAAGATTGAAATTCTTTTCGATTGCTATCTATAACATCCATTGACCTCCTTCGAATGTCTTGATGAAAGAGCTCGTTATTGTAAAGTTGATCACTAATAGCACGAAACAAACAATTGCCATCGCGAAAAATAGGAATTACAGCCCAATTAAGCGCTTCAAAATGCACTTTAATTTGAGCATTGCTGGTCCATGCTGCGTCTCGTTCTTCCACATTGCAAGAGAATGATGAGTACTCGACTCGGTAAACATTCGGATACTTCATTGTTGGTCGCTGTCTATTCGTAGAATTTCCATTGTCTCTTTCTTGAGTTATTGCCACTGGACACTGAGACTCCTGCTGGCTTCCCGTTGATGTTAAGTTTCTTAAGTTTAATGTTAACCAAGAACGCATCCCGAAATGTTTAATTGATTTTCTTGAAGACGATCGAAGGCTGAATCGAGAGCTAAGTCTTTCTCTTGTTGATGATGTTGTCATGATACACTTTTGTTGCTCGCTGATACGAAAGTTCACAAATGATTCAAACACTGACAGAACATCTTGGTACGAATTCCAGCCGGTGAGATTCGTCCCACGATCCAAACGCTTAACATGCCCCTAATGCTCACACTCCCTAACGAAAACCACAACAAAAGACCAGACGGATGTGTATAGGGTAAGTATTTCTTTTTGTTATCGAAAAAGTATCACGAGGTACAACTCTTGAAAGGTTCTAAACACAGTGTGATACTACTCTCTGACAGAAATTTATGTTGACTTGGACAAGTTAACTCGTTGAGACTTTTCGATCTTTTGAGCTTTTCGTAATTGACGCAATTCCTTCTTGCTTAAAATCTTGCCAGATGTACCAGAAACAGTTCCAGCTGCTATCTGTAGCTGTTTACTGAGACGATTCGCCAATTCGTCAACCCTTCCATCTGTTAAATTCATCGACGCTTCTGGAACAACACTGAGCTCCACTTGCTCGCTGTTACTGGATTCTGAAGTTGACATGTGTGTATGCCATCGCTTCTTGATTTCAATACAAGTTTTTGATTAAAAATGAAGCAATAATCAAGCTTGAAACAAACAAACCTTTGCAAGATCTTTTACTCGATAACCTTCGCATTCGAGGTCGAATGAAATCGGTAAAGTGTCTGGATCCATACAATCTTTTAATGATCGCACACTGTCATAGTGATCTTCACTATGATAAGCTACATGAATGATTCGCGTAGGTCTAAGGCGGTCGCACTCGATCACCATAATTGGTGCTTCTAGCTGGTCTTGATGAACAATAATGTACACTTGAAACAGTCGAGCCGCAGCATAAAGCTCTTGATTCCCACCCCAAGTACCATCTTCTCGGATTCGCTCGCAATACTGCACCACAATTATTTAGATGATTCCCATTTTTGACTTTTTTGAGCACAAACCTTCTCAAACTTCTCATCATCTTCCATGAATGGTTCAAAGTCGTTACGATGGTGCTCCATATAATTTACAATATTCTACATTGTTTACTCGTACTATGAACAACCATTTCTCAAGTTAAAATCTTTACCTTACGAACATCATCATGTCGATGCTGGTCGCCATAAAGCTGATCACTTAGTGCGCTAAAACAATAAAATCAGCACCTGCATGTCGTGATTCCAGGATAAAGACAAATTGAAAATATGGTTCAGGTCACATACCGAAAAAGGCAGTTGCCGTCAGCCTCTACTAACTTTAAAATGATAAGAATTTCTCAAATATTAAAGACAAGATAGACTTCTTACGAGCAACTTGCAGCCAACATTAGCAAGTTGACTTCGCATAAGCTTCATCGCATCATTATTCAAAATTTTCTCCTTCTTGTGTTTCTTGTTGCAGACACGATGGCAATCATAACATTCAAGTTTTGAGAGATATGCTACAGTAACGTACTGAAACCTTCTTCGTCTGTTTTGTATCATTGCGCCCCATTAAACTACCTTTGAGGTCTTAAATTATTAAGCATAATTTTGATGACAAAAGAGTATTATCGAATCAAAACCCGTAAAATTTTCAACATCTTCTTCGCCATCCAAAATACTGCGACATGGTAGAGACCCGTCGGACATCGCGGCGCCTTCGATCTGCTAGGGCAAGCTTGACCCCTACTCCTTCTCCAATGAGTTCTCCATCTATCTGTGGTCCTACTAGAAAATCTCGCCGCACTCCATCACCGCGTAACCCAAAAAAGAAGCTTCAGGACGTGCAGGAGTTGGCGCAGGAGATTTCTATTGTTATGACGGATGAAGAAGAGAATGAAGAGGAGAATATCAAGATAACGATGAATAGTACACTTGTCTCTGAAAAGAGAGTTTATAATGATAAAGAGAAGACTGAAGACCAGGAGAATTGTGCGAATCAAGAGCAGGAGAATAAAGATGCAGAATCTGAAAAGGTTGCTGCTCTTGAAGAAAAGGATAAATCTGTAGATGAGAGCAAAATAGTAGCGGTAGAAACGAAAGAATTGTCTGTTCAAGATGACACGATTTTACTACTGGATGATGGTGATAATAATGAGAAAGATCAAGATGAGGAAGAAGATGACGAAGACATCAACTATTACGTACGTCACTCTGTTTGGTATTTTGAAAGTTCTTGTCATAACGCAATTGGGTATCATAGGCTTCTCTTGCTGCATCTGGATTAAACCTCTCGATCAAGTCTTCGGGAACATCCATTCCTGCTCTTACTACTAAGCAGTCGACGATAAAAGTGCTAAAGCAGCAGCTAGTGCCTAACCAGTTGGATAGTGGTGCTTCGCAATATCAAACATTTTTCGATTTTGAGGGTTTGAAACGCTCGCAAGTCGCTACATTGCGTGCTGATGCGCGCGCTGTAGAAGAATCCAAGATACTGGCTGCAGGTCAAAAAGCTGTTGCACACTCGCAGAGGCAACGTATTGAGTCCCAGCACAAAAAGTCAGCAGGACGCAGATGGTTTAATTTTGAGTCTGAGGAGATGACAGACGACGCGCGTCGTGACTTTGCATTACTTCGCATGCGAAATTACTTGGACCCAAAGAAATTTTACAAGAGCTCCGATCATTCGCGTGGTCTACCAAAACATTTTCAAATGGGCACTGTAATTGAAGGAGCTCACGAATATCATTCGGCACGTTTAACAAAGAAACAGCGACGTAAAACATTTACGGATGAAATTATGGCAGATGAGGCTGTGGTGCAATACACCAATCGTGTTGCTGGTAATATCCAAAATGCACGTAGTAAGCATGGACGTAAAAAGAGACGAATGAACTAACATCCGTTCAAGCTAGACATATAGTTTCTCGCGTTTCGTAAACATAATCTACCAACATGAATGTTTATGAAAGTTCAATCTTTTTAAAGCACATCTTAAGCAACCCAAACGTCATTGATTGTTACAACCTTTGGCTACCTGTCACACTTCTTCAGAAGACGAATGAAACTTATGGTTGTGCTGATTGAGTCGATACATCGCATGATTCAATGGATTAAGATGATGGCTATGTCTGTAGATCCTCAATATTTGCAATTGAGCATACAATTTCTTCTCACTGGTGCATTCGGAGCTATGATCATGTCGATGTTACATGGTATTTTCAGAGGAATCTGCGTCACACCATGGGAGACTGTGTATTTAACAGTGCATTTAATTGGAATTGTCAGCTCAATCATTGTCAACTTCGTGACTCGTGGAGGCAAATGTAAATTTCAAAATTGGACGCTTCGCTTTGAAATTCTGCGTGCAGTCATTCGAGAGTGCACACGAGGCGCGAGAGGCACACGCATGATGTCGGATGTTAAATATGCTTCTGTCATTCGTTCACAAAGTGCCGTGTGTGGTACTATAATGGGCTGGTTTGCTTGTCAACAGAGCAATCGCCGTATTGAATCGGTTTACTTTAATCACTTGGAGCATATTTGGCTCCGTTCTCCAACAACACGATCACGTAAAACCAAGACATTTGTGGTTTTATATATCCATGGTGGGGGTTTCGCACTCTTGAGTCCACGACTTTATATTTCCTTTGGTAATACACTCGCTGTCGCTATTGAAAAGGAAGTACGTCAACAGCTTTTAATCGACGAATCTGTACTAGTTGATGTTTTCCTAAGTAATTATCGCAAGGCACCGGAATATTACTTCCCTCTACCTGCTGAAGATATCGTGACTACTTATATGCACCTACTTGATGTGATAGGGTTTTCTCCACATCAAATGATTCTCGCCGGTGACAGTGCAGGTGGTGGTTTGGTCATGTCAACTCTACTAAGAGTGCGTGAGATGAATAGAGCGCTTTTGCCTCTGGCTGCCTTACTTATCTGCCCTGCTGTTGATCTTTCAGAAATTGATCCAGATATTGACAAAGAGGCTTTGTCAGCTCATTGCTTTTTATCTCCAGAAATAATTACAGCTGGACGTTTGGCTTATCACGTGACAGCTTCAGACCCAACAACTTGGGCTGACGCTTCGTCTGTGCATTGCGATTTGCGAGGACTTCCACCCGTTTTAATTCAAGCTGCAAGCTTTGACTACATCTATCAGCATTCAATTCGACTAGCACAGAAGGCAGTGTTGGATGGAGTGACAAACTGGGAAATCGATATCCACAAAGAGATGCCACATGTATTTAGCGTCGTACCATCCTACGTGCTACCATACGCACAGATTGGTGTGCTGAGACTAGCAAAATTTGCAGCTAAACACATCATCAAGTGTCAGGGTACTTTAAGCCAGGAAGAAATTGAGGCAACAGCTTGACAGATCGAAATGCATTATATGAAATGAATGATATTTTTTCCGAGAAAACATCTCATGTGATTGATTAGGATATAGAATCATTTTGATCATTATGTAGTCCAGACTTCCTCAATGAGCTAGCTACGCATCTTGCACGTAAGAATACTTGACATTCAGAGTTCATGCTATATTGTAGAATTATGCCACCATTAATATAGTAAAACCTATATAATGCATTTCGTGAATTCACATCAAATACTTATCATAGCTTATCGTGGTACTAGACGATGGAACTTTTGAGTTCGAGGAATCTCCATTCTCATTTGATTTCAATTATTATGGAAGATAATTCAAAATTTATTGCTGATCAATACATCACTCAGTCAATCATCCATCAATCAAGTCAATAATTAAAGAGAACGTCCTTCAGCAACAAATAGCAATTGGAAATATGGTGGAACTGTTTTGTGCGTTGGTTGGAGAGGCAAGAAATGTATTCTGCGTAACGATCGATGCTAGCAAGTCGGTGGGACATTTGAAGGCAGCTATTAAGACGAAGAACAAATTGAAGTCAATTGATGCGAGCAGATTAAAGTTATTCCTCGCCAAGAAAGGCGAAGCGTGGCTGACCCAAAAGCAGGTGGACGAAGGAATTTATGGCACGAGTGATTTTAAGCGATTGAAAGTTGTGGCAGCCCCACTTTATTTGGTTGGCTTGTCGGAGAAAGATGTTACGTTTGAAGTTACGATGGGGGATGTCGAGACGAAGAGTACCCCTGTTCACGTGTTGGTGGTTGTTCCGACCAAAAAGGTAGATACAGTGGCTGCAAACCGAAGAGCCGCATCATCAATGATAATTTTAGCAGCTGAACCGACGAAAATCTTCGTCAAAGTTTATGAATTTACACGCGAAGAGGAAGATTGGCAAGAGCTGACTATCAACGTCGTGGACGAATTATCCAGGACAAATGCCAGGATTATTGTGCGCACATTTTGGACAAAGTCGACGAGTTCTATGACGGGAACGAGCGCCCACTCCCGTTCATCTGCGTGGAAGGGTCATCAGGCATGGGAAAATCGCAACTAGCATTTGCATTGGGTGGCCGACGACCTTATTATTACTGGCCAGCCATTTCAATTAGAATGTGTTTTCAAACTATCTATCGCAATTTCATCTCGATATCGAACGCGTTCGTTATGGTGTTTGAAAGCGACGCTCCAGAGAAAAAATGTACGGAGCGTGTGTTGAACTGCCAATCAAGCATCTATCGGAATGATCTGCTGTGGACCTATGGCTTCATTTGCGCATTACTCAAGCATTGCAGCTCTGCGGAGCACCAAATTGCTCGACAAATGATTCGGTTTGAGGATGCGACGATACTCGACGTGAAGCCATGCGACCTGAAAACTGTTCTCGCTCTGATTAACAAAATAAAGGCAGAGAAGAACGTCTTGCCGTTCTTCGTTCTGGATGAAATGATTCCCACCGAAACTAAAGGGATAAATACGACTGCCTTCCAGCGCATTGTGTTTCGTGCATGCGGTCTTGTAGTCATCGTCATGGGAACAGACTCCAAGGTCACGAACTTATTGGACCAAGTAAAGGGCAGCGACGGGGTGCGGTACAAATGGATGGTGCTTGTTCCCGTATTTCCCAGCTATCAAATAGTGCTTGATAACTCGGAAGACCAACAAACGTGGCTGACGCTTGTGGCGAAATATCCTGTTGTTCAAGACATTGTGACACATTCTCGTGGACGATTCTCAAGGTATTTCATGGAACGAGTAGTGAAATACGTGGTTGAAACAAGCGAGGTCGAGCTTTGCCGTTTGTTAGACGATGTCTGTGCATATGTCAGTCTATAATCACACGAAGGAAAAAGGTTTTTGCATTCGAAAAATGGACAATATGCGCAGCTAATGGCGATATCGCATTCAAACGCCGTCGTTTGTGGAGAAAACGAAGAAGAGCCACCTATAAAGAAGACTCGACTGGAAGTGGAAGCAATCGGAATGCATTCGCATTTTGCGAATCTTATTGACGACGAAGTAAAGGATGTATTTTCATGGAATGGGGAATTGACGACGAATGCCGGGCTATGGGAACCCAAATGCTGTTTTCCGCCAGTCAACAAAGACGTGCTGTTGTATTTGGCGATTTTGGGTGGGAAAATCTTTCCAAGCTACTTTGATCTTGGCGAGAAGCATTTCTCAACTAAGTGCATATTTGCAACGACAGAAGTGTTTTCTGTGCACGAGAACTCCAACG